GGGAGATACAGGAATAGGTAGAAAACCCAAAACATGAAAGCATTTGATGTCCCCACTCCAGAGGAACTAATACAGAAACCTTAAAGCAACAGAGGTTATCATGAGAAGGGGATCAGGAACCAGTGTAAAGATCAGTTAGAGATGAATCAACTTGAGTTGATTTGTATATGATAGTGATTCTAGGAATATTTCTGTATAGCTATCCTTAACTAGCAAAAACGCTTTGTCTTCCTTATTATGCTTATGTCTTTTCTTCAACAAAATTAGAGATAAGGGCAGACAGGTTCTGCCTGGAAGTGAGGGAGGGGAGGGGGGAAGATATGACCCAAACAATAAATGCACATGTGAATAAATGAATAATTAAAAAATAAAGCAAAAAGATCACGTCTTTTCAGTGAATAAACAATGAAGTATCTTACAATGGTCTTGAACATTAGCTGAGCTGATGGCTGACACCTTAATTTATGCTAGTAAAGGTATTTCTATGACAGTAAAACATAGTACAGACATACAGTTTTTTGATAATTTGGTCCAAGAAAACATTTTTGAGTATTTGGGATAGGATATGTGGACTGGGATTCATGATAACCCTACTTTTTATAAGCATGTTTCAAGAGATCCTGGAACTCATGTGATCATTGTCTTTATGGATATTTATCCCTAGTGCTGCCTCTTAGGTAGACTAAAGCTTATAATAATACAGTTGTTTAATATTCTGTTTCATCACTTTATCAAAAACATGGTTTAAAGTTTTTAAATTAAAAGTAATATTTCTAAAGACACTTTTTTGTTGGTATTGGATAGAGACACATTTTGTCGGGGCCAATGAGATTTTATTGGGTCTAGAGTATAAAAAGAGGAACTGCTTAGAAGATGCTAATTCATGCTAATTGAATACAGATTTTGTATTTACATACACAAGTAGACAATGATTAAGATCAAGAGATTTTGGAAGTAGTGACTACAGAAAGTGTGACAACTTGAAAAGGTACACCTTAGTGTAAGAGTAATTTTTTATTTTTGTTCCTGATTCTTAGATACTTTTAAAAAGTGTAGTGGTCAGTTCTACATAGGTCAGATTTAAAAGTCATAATTCCTTTAATGTATTGCTAAATATAGGAAGGAGAGGGAAAGAAGATTTTGATTGGGCATGGCACATGTAAACTTGAGTCCACAATTGCAAATCAGAAATAGCCTTCATTTCAGGGCTAGGAGCTAGGAAATGACTTGGTACTTATCCTCTAGCTTAGTCTGTATCTTCTTTTTGTCAGATGACAGGAAGATGTCCTTGGAGTTGACTGATAAATTGCTACTAATTCCTTAGTTCCCACAAAATTTTCTTTTTCTTTTAAAAATGGGACCAAGGTTTGAACTCAGGGCTTTGAGCTTCCAATGCAAGTGCTCTACTGCTTAGCCATACCTCCAAGTCCATTTTGCTTTGGTTATATTGGAGATAGGGTCTCATAAAATATTTGCCTGGGCTGGCCTCAAACTTAGATCCTCCCGAAATTCAGCCTTCCAAGAGCTAGGATTACAGGTGTCAGCCACAGGTGTCCTGGCCCAACTAACTTCCTTCTTTCCTCCCTCCCTCCCTCCCCTCTTTCTTTCCTTTTTTGGCAGTACTGGGGTTTGAACTCAGAGCCTTGTGCTTGCTACTTAAGCCACACCCCCCCAGCCCTTTTTTGCTTTAGATCTTTTTAGGTAGTCTCAAGTTTTTGTAGGAGGCCAGCCTCAGGTGTTACTCCTACCTATAGCCTCCTGCATAGTTGGGACCACAGGCACAAACCATCACACCAGTCTTACTGATTGAAAGAGGGTCTCTAACTTTTTGCCCAGGCTAGCCTGTAACCTACGTCCTCCTGATTTCTCCCTCCTGAGTGAGGTGGGGAGCCACCATGCCTGACCCAATTTTCTTTTTTTATTGTATTTGCATGTTGTTTTCTTTTTCCCTAACATTGAAATTTTGTTTCTTGCTTTTTAAAATATTACTGTGCTGGGTGGGAGTACATTGTGGCATTTACAAAAGTTCTTAACAGTGTATCAAATATATCATACTTGAATTCACCTCCTCCATCATTCTCCTTTATTTCCCCCTCTCCCCATTCCTGAAACAGTTTCAACAGATACCATTTTTCCATTTACATACATGTGTACATAGTATTTATATCACATTCACCCTCCCACACCTTTTCCCCATATCCCCCCCGATTGGTACCAACCCTGCCCCAGGCAGGACCTGTTCTGCCCTCCTGTTCTCCAATTTTTTAAATGAAAAAAAAATTTTTTTTTATTGAAGATGACTACATGGGGTTTCCTTTTCATGTTGTTTTCTGTGTTTTTGCCTAATATTGAAAATTTGTTCTTTTTAATCCAATTTACGATCTGTCCTTGGGGTGTTTAGACCATATATTTAATGTAATTATTGATAGAGTTGGGTATAACATCTGACATCTTGCTATTTCTGTTTGTCCCATCTTCTCTTTTTTCTTTTCCTGCCTTCTTTGAGAAGGGTTGTATCTCAGTTTTCTTATTTGTAAAATGAGGCTCATAACCATTTCATAAGGATGTCCTAAGGACTAAGTGACATTATTCATACAAAATGCTTAGAATGAAGCCTGGTACATAATTATGTAGAGCTCCATAAATATATTTTGTAGTCAGAGGGTGAGATATCAACTGTTCAGTGGTTTGAGTTGTAGACCTAGTTAAATATGCACATAGATTGGATAGGTAGTTTCCAGCATTGTGGTTTGAGTGGGCACTGAAAGACTATGGTTAGAAAATATGTATTAGCTAGTTGTGGTATGTGAACTTGTCACAATTAAGTACTTTATAGGGACTTCTAGGAATGTGCATATCCATTAACTTAAGGTATTATGATAGGGGGTAATCACTTCTCTCACTACCTCTGAGAAAAACGATTTCCAATGATACATCATCATGCTCTGATACTTCCTGGGAAAGCAGTGAAAGGCTGGGCAGGTAAGTATACCTAAACAAAAGTGAGAAAAAAGACAGTCTGATCCTGGGAGGGAGCCACAGTGGGTAAAGAGATAATGTTTTGAAAGTGAAAAGACTGGTTTATTAAATTTCCAGGCTTTGTATTTGCTAGTTTCCTCTAGTTTCATTGTAGGAGGAATGTGTCACAATTGATATTTATCTGTTTGACTCTTGAATAGTTGATTTGGTCATGCTTTACAATTTACTTGCCTCCAAAACATGAGGTGGCTGATTTTGAAGTCTAAGTGATAGTGGGTTGGGAGCAGTTGTGCTTTTCCCGCTTCTGGCCCTGCACCGAGGTTTTGTTTGGTCTTCCTGAACTCTTCTACACAGAACTAGGATATAAGCTCTATGAGAGCAGGGACTGTTCAATGTTGGCACTTAACACAGTACATGTTATGTTTTAGGTATTCAATAAACCTAAATGATCTGTATTTTTTTCCTTTAAGTGAATCAGGACCTTTTTATTTAAATATTTATTATAATCTATGGGGGGTACATTGTGACATTTACAAAAGTGCTTAAAATATGCTTAAATTCACTCTTAACAAATTATTACCACCTGTTTTACTCCCCAGTCTTATAGTCCTTTAGTTATTCTTTTTGGAGCATTAGACTCAAAATTGAACCCTAAGCTTAGACACTAGGTCCAAACCTGTCCCAGGGGCTGGAGTGTGTAAAATGGAGCCTGAATAAATGGATTTCCTGCGTGGTCTCTGTATCATAATGGATATCACTCCTTTTCTATAACTCTGGTCAAATATACTGAAAGCTTTACTTTCTCAACATTGATATAATTACTATTGACAAGACGATGAGAAAATTCTCATTTCTTTTGATGGTAGTTGGGATCATATTGGGAAGAATGTTTATTTAGAGTAATTTGAAAAAAGTATTTTTCAAAGAAGCTTTTCACTTCGTAATTAAAATGACACACATTGAGGAAGTTTACATGACAAATTCAGGGTCTAGTTGTTTGATTCTGTTGGCAGATATAAAGTATAGATGTCTAAGTCCTAGAAACAGGAATATGTGAGCATTTGAAGAAAGAATGTTTTGGGGTAATAAAAGACATCAACCAGGTGGACCTTTCGTGTAGTCATTCTTCCAATTGTTTTAGAGGTAGCGTGTTAGGAATATTTGAAAGGCCACATCTCACTAGCCTCCGTGAGATGTGTCTAGGCAAATTCTTACTGCTTGCTGGTCCAAATGAAGTCTAATTTTTTTAAAGTAATAGATAAATGTTCAACATACATTCTTTTTTTTTCTTACACAGCAAGGCTCTGTTTATTAAAAATTCCAGTGCACACAGATTGATATATTGAA